TTGACAGCAGGCACCCATTCTATGATGTGATGAGAAGGGATTGTACCTCCGTGCTCTTCCCCAAAACCCACCAGCCCAATCGAACCATCAGAAAAGCGGGTGTTATGGGGAGGGTGGTGTGAGGACCGGTGAGGTTGCTGCATTGGAGGGCAGAGAATCAGAGGCTCACACCCAGGACTAAGAGTCAGAGGTGCTGACCTTCAAGGACGGGAGGAAAACTGGGACCTGGCATGTGGTGGGCGTCGGAGTGGGCGTCTCCTGGGTTTTGAGCCCAGATCTTGAACTTTCTGTGCCTGCAGGCTTTGCTCACCTCTCCCTGTGAAGAGCTGGTACCCGCACTCCCGCCCCAGCTGGAATACAGTGCAGAGGACTTACAGCCACCACAGCCACAGTGGTCCCCCTCAGGACCCCCCACCTCCCCTGGAAGGGACCTGGTGGGCTGTGCTGGAAGGAGCCAAGAGCATGAGTGGACCCAAGCCGCACTGAGGGGCTGGAGCGTAACCCGGGCGGGGACTCTGCACACACTGGGTGGGACCTCAGAGCCCACCACCTCCCGCAGCTCCTGCCTGAGGCTTCCTCTGCCAGCACAGAGCAGGCCACTGTCTAAACTGACACCCTGGGTGGCCCCCAGCCAGCCTCCTCACCTGAGGGGACAGCACTGTACCTGTGGCATGATGGTCTCCCCAGGTCCCCAGTGGACTGAACCCCAGTGTCCCCAGTGTCACCTGCATAGCCCAGGACTGCCCCTTCACTGTCCTAACTCCCTGTATCTTAGTCTTGAGTCCAGGTTGTCAGCCCTTGTCTCCAGGTCTGCTTGTGGGGAGCCCAGCCTGGAGAAGGAGTGTGAAAACCAAGTAACCCAAACCTGGGACCAGCACTGTGCAATTGGGAGGGGTGCAGTGTCAGACCCCAGGTCTGTTCAGGGGATGGCAGAGCTAGTGACTGAGGTTAGGACGTAATGTGAGACTCTAAGGTCAGCACTAAACTAGTAAAAATGGGCTGTACAACTTCCACAACCGTGGCACAAAAAAAGAATACAGAAACTAATGAACCTGATAGAAGACACAAAAGGAGAAAGATGCATAAGAAAAGCCGCATTACTAAAAAGCAGAAAGTAATATAACGAAAGTAAGTAAACCCAGACACGGGACTAAGCTCTCAGCGGCCCAAGCTGGAACAATGCAAGCAACAAAATAAACCACAGAGTATTGGGTTATAACCAAAGTGTAAAATGAATACCCATTGAGCATCAAAGCACATCATCCACAGTGAAAACTCACCCATAGCATGGCAGAAAACGTTTGCAAATCGCATGCCTGCTGAGGGATTAATATCCAGGATCTGAAGAACTCCTACAGCTCAGCAACAACAAAGACAAACAACCCAACTCAAAAATGGGCA